TAGAGCTGTAATTTTGTGGTTTATGATGTCAGGAAAGCCTATCAAACTAAATCTTTATTTCAACTTTGGAGGTCACCTGTGTTTCTGTATTGTCTACTACATGTAAAAAAGAGAACTATAGACTTAATCAAGAGAGGAACTAAATCTGATCCTATGCCCCTAGCTGTTGTTTTGTTTTCTTATTCACTTGTTTGTTTATTCTTTCAACAAATACATACATGGCATGCACTATCCCAAATAAGTTTGAACATAACCTGGAAAAAGAGGGATTCAAATCTTCCTTCCCATAATCTTTACTGATAATAATAGATGTGTCACGGGGGTTTTTATTCATAAAACAGCAGAGAATCTCCTCTTCTTATAAAGATGAAAGCAGGGATCCCTGGGTGGCGCAGCGGTTTGGCGCCTGCCTTTGGCCCAGGGCGCGATCCTGGAGACCCGGGATCGAATCCCACGTCAGGCTCCCAGTGCATGAAGCCTGCTTCTCCCTCTGCCTATGTCTCTGCCTCCCTCTCTCATTCTGTGTGACTATCATAAATAAATAAAAAAAAAAATTAAAAAAAAAAAGATGAAAGCAATTTTAATGTGAAGACGTAACTATAAAAAGGCCTTGTCGTGGCCTTTCCTTACATAGCTATTCCCAAGATTGGGAATAAACAAATTTTCGTCTAACAAATTCAGGTATTTGTTTTTTACCTAATTGTCTTATTCTGCCCAAATATACATAGTAATTTAATTCTTACCAACATTTATAAAAATAATTACATAAAGCTACCTTAGTTATTTCTAGGTCTCCTATTCAGTGTTTTGAAATATAAAGACATTTTCACTGACCTAATAATACTAAGCTTCATGATTTTGCTTTTAGTATTTATTATCAATTACCATTTATGGCCCCAAATAGTATATTGTTCTGTGCATGGTACTCTTGTATGTTTACAGTTGTAAAAATATAGCACCATTCCTAGAGTCACTTACAATCTAGAGAGCCAAACAAAATAGAGAAACTAGTAATGTGTCAGTATACAATGTACATGTGTATACAGCGGTATACTTCCCCATTCACTAAAGACTTTCTAGAGGAAAAGTGACATTTTAATGGCATTTATAGGATGAAAGCAGTATTTTTTATGGAATGATAAAGGAAAGTTCTTTAAGATAGTATTTATGTAGAGACTTAAAGAAAGTTAAGGAAGTGTTTCCATTAGCTACTGCTGTATAACAGACCACCCCAGTATACTACTTAAGTGGCTTAAAACATGGATTGTGGGTTTTTCATAATCTGGCCGTTTTTTGTTTTGTTTTGTTTTGTTTTCATATAGGGCTAGATAGTAAATAGTTGAAGCATTATAGGCCGTTTAGTTTCTGTCAGTTATTCATTTCTGCTGTTGTAGTGCAAAAGTAGACATAGACAATGCTTAAATGGATGAGTGCTATTGTGTTCTAATAAAATTTCATTTACAAAAACAGGTGGCAGATTGGATTTGACCTAAGGACTATGGTTTGTTGACTCTTGATTTAAAACAACAAAACTGGGATCCCTGGGTGGCGCAGCGGTTTGGCGCCTGCCTTTGGCCCAGGGCGTGATCCTGGAGACCCGGGATCGAATCCCACATCAGGCTCCCGGTGCATGGAGCCTGCTTCTCCCTCTGCCTATGTCTCTGCCTCTGCCTCTCTCTCTCTCTCTCTCTCTCTCTCTCTCTCTGACTATCATAAATAAATAAAAATTTTAAATAAATAAATAAATAAATAAATAAATAAATAAATAAATAAATAAAACAAAACTGTTACTTTGCTTACAAATCTGCAATTTGGGTATGGTTTATTAGCAAGGTAACCTCTCTGCACTACTGGGTGTCAGTTAGATTGTTTCGAAGGCTAAAGAGTAGAATCATCTGAAGGTTCACCCACTCACAGGTTGATATCTCCTGGGCTGGAAACATTGCTGGGGAATCCTCAATCTCTGTGCCATCTCTTTGTGTGATCTCTAGCATGGCAACTTCACATTGGTCAAATTTTTTATATGTTGGAGTGTATGTGACCAGAGACATGGAAGTTGTATTGCATTTTTAAGCCTACCCTGAAAAGTCACTCATTTGTCACTTCTCACCTCCGTTATATTTTACTTGACTGGGTGAGGGGTAGGCAGACTGGCCCTCTGGGCAAATCCAGCTGGCTTCCTATTTATAAATAAAGTCATAACCATTCCTTATGTGTTGTCAGTGGCTGCTTTTGCACTACACTACAATGTTAGTGCTGAGTAGTTGTGACAAAGTTTATAAGGGCTACAGAGCCTAAAATATTTATTATCTGGCTTTTTACAGAACAGGCTTTCAGTTCCTGGGTGTAGGCACTCTCAGTGAGCCACCCATGACCTTGATGGGAGAATGGCAAGGTTCTAGAACAGCATTGTAGAACTATCTGGCATTTTACAGAACAGGTTTTCAGTTCCTGGGTGTGTAGGCACTCTCAGTGAGCCACCCATGACCTTGATGGGAGAATGACAAGGTTCTAGAACAGCACTGTAGAACTAGAAATACCGTTGGAGTCGTTTTTAGAAAGTACAGTCTGCCACAGGGAATGAACCACATGGAAACTTAAAGGAAGATCGTTCCAGCCAGAGGGAACAACAAATTTTGGCAAGTGCCTGCGAGGTGTTTTCACAGAAAACAGTATGGCTAGTGTTGCTGAAATAGAGTAGGTGAGTAGTAGGAGATGAAGGCAGAGAAGTTGCCAGGGCCAAGTTCGTGTGGGGCCTTATATTGTAAAGAGTTCAGGTTTAGTGAGGTAAGAAACCATTGCAGGTTTCGAGAAGAGGAACAAGATCTAGCTTATATTTTCTAAGGATCACTGTGGCTACTCTGTAGGGACTACAGTATGGGGATAAGGACAAAGGCAGGAAGACTGTTGAGCAGAATATTAAATAGTCTTCTAGCTAAGAAAGGAAGATGGCTTAATTAGAGTAGTAAGAGTAAAGATGGAGGAATTTGTTTCTGAATATAGTTTTGAAGGTAGAACCGATGGTCTTTGTTGATGGATTGGATAATGGAGTGAGAGAGAAAGAAGTCGAGATGACTCCAAAGCCCTGAGGCATTCTTGCTACCTCCTTGGACCCCCTCTGAAAAACACTGCGTTTCAGTACAGGAAGATTGACATGCTAGGTGGCACAAACAGTTCCATACCCCTCCTGCTAAAACCCTGCAGAGGCTTCCCATTGTCCTCCTCAGATTTCTAACATGACTCACCAAACACCTTCACAACGTAGCTTCTAATTATTTCTCTTGGGTTCTTTTTAACTTCCCCCCTATCTTGCTTTCTGTTCCCCACCCACAAAAAACACGTCACTTCCTCAGACCCGCATATTCTGTCTTCTGGGCTTTTGCACACGTGTCCTCTGTGCCTTCTCTCCATCTCACTAACAGCTATGCTCATCTTTAGGCTCCCACTTAGACTTCCTGTTTTTGTTTTTGTTTTGCTAGCTCCTTCTTTTCTAATTTAGGTCCTCCTGCTATGTTTTTTCCATGGCAATCTGTATTTACTCCATCACAGTACTTCCCATACTTTACCATTTATTTTTTAGTCATTTGTCATCCTTACTGGACTGGAAGTTCTGTAGGAGCAGGAGCATGTCTTATGTCTTTTTCAGCTGAATCACCCCCACAGGGCCTGGCTCATAAAGACACTTAATAAGTGTTTGTTGAGGGATCCCTGGGTGGCGCAGCGGTTTGGCGCCTGCCTTTGGCCCAGGGCGCGATCCTGGAGACCCGGGATCGAGTCCCACGTCGGGCTCCCGGTGCATGGAGCCTGCTTCTCCCTCTGCCTGTGTCTCTGCCTCTCTCTCTCTGTCTCTCTCTCTGTGTGACTATCATAAATAAATAAATAATTTTAAAAAAATTTAAAAAAATTTAAAAAAAAATAAGTGTTTGTTGATAATTTGAATGAAGGACATGTAACTTAAGGTGAATTGCATTTTCTTAAGTAACATGGGGAGAACTTCTAAATTTCACATCAGATCAATTGTTAAGTCTGAAAAAAGAAAAATATAGCTATGGTAAAATTATTTATATGCAGAAAGCATATTGCAATACAAAATAGAAATACATAAGAATGATCATTATGTTAAGGTAGTTAAATTACAAAGTTTTTTTCAATTTTTTTGTAATTTTTATTTTGTTTAAAATGTTTTAAAGAATGAATTCAAATTGCATTTTAAGAATTTTAAATTAGGCATCTTGAACTTTCAGGTCGTTTTGTTCCCAAATTTGACTCAATCCTGGGTAGTTACCAAGACCTAAAGCATAATACTTACTGGAACAGATGTAAGATGTCATTGTTTCTACTCTTCTGCTTCAGTAAATAAAAAAAACTTTCCATTTTTAAAGTTTCTGTTTCTAAGATCAAGTATCATATTGTTCAAAATAGTAACAAAGTGATACTATTGTTTTTATTTTTTTTTCAATTTGTCAAATGAGCCTTCACCTATTTCTCTAGTCCTCTGAAACATTACCATCATCACTTCAGAAATAGTGATTAATACTTAAATATTAAATGTTTGTAAAGTACCTTTGAATATTTTGCCTTCAAGTCCTTGATTAGCAAATGTAGATAAAGAAAGTGAGACTTGGAGAAGTCACATGCAGTGTTGAAGGTCACAGGCTTGGATAAGAAGTTTACTGGGAGCAAGTCAAAGATCTCATTCTTAGTCAAACCTCCTGCACGTAATATACAGTAAAGATGTTTTTCCATCTCTATATATTTATATATATGTATGTATGTATGTTTGTATGTATATATATGTATATATAGATTTCTTTTAAAAATAATTTTATCAATGTGTAAATGAACTTACAGTGTATCTCTAAGGCTACTGGTAATAATATTAAATATGGATAAAACTTGTGTCCTTTTGAGTCTTGTTAGGTTATAAACAACGAACATTTTCTCTAGTTTGAAGTTATTTGTGTACAGCATTCTCATACTTTTTCCCCTTTCCTCCACAGTTGTGCATGCCTAAAGGGCTGTCTTTCAGAACTCAGACTGACAATAAAGACCCTCAGTTTCACTCATTTATAATTACCCGGGAAGATGGCTCTCGTACCTATGGTTTTGTTCTCACTTTTTATGAAGAAGTTACAAGTAAGCAGATCTGCACAGCAATGCAGACGCTCTACCAGATGCACAATGCGGAGCATTATAGTAGCGTGTATGCTTCATCCTCCTGCAGCATGGACTCTCTGGCAAGCAGTATTGATGAGGGAGATACAACTTCCCTTTTGAAACTCCAGCGATACAACTCCTATGACATCAGCAGAGACACCCTGTTTGTTTCAAAAAGTATATGTTTGATCACACCACTGCCATTCATGCAGGCCTGCAAGAAATTCCTTATCCAGCTTTACAGGGCGGTTACCTCACAGCAGCCACCGCCCTTGCCGCTGGAGAGCTACATCCATAACATTCTCTATGAGGTACCCCTCCCACCTCCAGGGAGATCACTGAAATTTTATGGTGTTTATGAACCTGTCATCTGCCAGAGACCTGGGCCCAATGAACTCCCCCTCTCCGATTATCCTCTTCGAGAGGCCTTCGAGCTTCTGGGGTTGGAGAACCTGGTGCAGGTGTTTACCTGTGTTCTTTTAGAGATGCAGATACTTCTCTACTCGCAAGGTAAGTCTTCCTTGGGTTTTAAAATTTCCCCCAGAAAGTACTTATAAATCCAAACCGCTGCACCTCCATGGGGTATTTATTAGAACCAAATGATTAATGATCAGAAGCCTTCTGTTTTGTGTAAAAGGAGCACCTATTTTAGGTGGGACCAGAGGCTAAGATATTATATCTCTTTGAGGCATCAGTGGCTGTGGAGGAAAACAGGAAAGCCTACAGAAGCATTAATCTGATTGACTTGAATATATTTATTTTTTAATAGAAATAGGCCCTTTTTTCTAGATAGTACATAATCATCATAAAAGAAATACATTTCTTTTCATATTGAAAGTGAGAATGATGTTAGTACCAAGAACATGTAGCCAGCCATCTCATTTTTTGCAGATCAGTAAAGGTTCACATCAAAACTCTGTTGACATTGGACAGGGATAAATGAGATTGTTGACTCTGAAGTTTCCTAAGGCATTCATCTTTGGAACTTTGCCTATGGGAGATCTCACTAGCTGTGACTCTCCTGGGTTAATGGTTCTACTGGAGTTGTATGGAGTGCTTTTGTTTTATTTTGCTTTTATTCCCAAAAGGAAGTTACCTTTGTGATGTTTTCCATTCAAAGTTCTCCCAGCATATACTTAAGAAACCTAACAAAATTTGAGTTTTATATTAAGAGTGCATTTATGATGACTAATGTTGAGTCTAAACTAGAGTACTTGTTCCAATCTGAACATGATTTTGCAGAGGAAATAAAGATGCTCTGTCTTAATGAATAGTGAGTTGAAGGAAAATACAAAATGGTTGCTACACATCGATGTGTCCTTTGAAAAATGTGGCACAAATATTTGGGTTAGCTTTTTGCTAACTTGTATTTAGGCTAGCAGGATTGTAGTGCAATCTCCTGACTGCTGCCGTCAAGCTTATTTTACCACTTTCCTTTTTTTTCTTTTCTATTTTAAATTATAAGTGAAGCTGAGCCAAGTAGGCTATATTTGTACTTCCCCATCTTGTGTGTATGTTGACACTATTTGTGTGTTGACAGCCCTTCACGAGGTTGTGTTTTCTTCAGTTTATCCTACATAATGTTCTTTGATATGTGTTCTGATGTCTCAATTTTTGTTGTCAGGAAGTTCTCTAATGACCAATCTAAATTCTTTCCTTTCCTCTTGCTCTCACTTTCTTAGGGCTGATCATTACCTGCAGATCACGTGTTTGTATCTAAAACATGTAACTTTAAGTAATTTTCTCTTTCAATTTCTTCCCTTCTTGCTTTTTTCCCTGAAGCCAGGGTAGGGGTTAGAGAGTTGCTGGGAGAGAGCAGGGGCTTGGAACTGGATAATTTAGATCCTGGATTGACAAGAGATCTTGAAGGTCATTTGGTTCAGCTTTAATTCTGACTTGGTTCAGCTTTGGGCCAGAAAGAATATTGGTTTTTGAAGTCATAACAATCCTAGGTTCGGATCTCTGCTCTGTCACATGCTAACTGTAACCACAGACAAGTTACATAATCTTCGTGTCAGTTAATTCATCTTTATGAAGATAACAGGGTTTTTTCCCTTCTCTCTCACTGATTTTTTGTGAAGGCTAAATAAGAAAACCTGTACATGATACTTGGCACTAAATGATAGCTGATATTATTGTAATTATTATTGATTTATCAGTCCAACATAATCCCCTATAAATTATGTATATTTTAAGTTGCATGGGTCCAACATACTATTGCATTTAAAGTATAGCTTTGTTGAATTAAATAGTCAAGGCATTTGTTTCAGGGTTGAGGACCTAATAAATGTTCTCTTATATTGAATGTTAGGACTTTTTTTTTTTTAAGCCAAAAACAAAACAAAACAAAAAAAACCTTTCATTATCACACTTTCTCTTTTAAAAGGCACTGTATGTCTCACCGTGTGTGGTCTGTCCTGAGCTGTCATCTTTCCGCTGTTTGATTAGCTTATCCCAGCTGGTTCATGGAAGCTGTTGAAAAGTTATAATTGATTAATATCTGCCAATTTAATTCAGTTTCAGATGAAGAAACATGAGTGTTTATGAGCATAACTGAGATTTATTTTTTGTTTTTTTTTGTAAGGTTTTGTGGTAGTTTGGTTTTATGAATCCTGAGATTATAGGACCCACATGCTCTCCTCACTCTGTCTCCCTCTCTTTCCCTCCACACACACACACACACACACACACACACACACACACACACTTTAAGTGTCCTACAAAAGAAAGTCTCATATGTTTTTTTTTTAAGATTTTATTTATTTATTCACGATATATATATATAGAGAGAGAGAGAAGCAGAGACAGAGGCAGAGGGAGAAGCAGGCTCTATATGCCAGGAGCCCGATGTGGGACTTGATCCCAGGACTCCAGGATCGTGCCCTGGGCCAAAGGCAGGCACCAAACAGCTGAGCCACCCAGGGATCCCCAGAAAGTCTCATATGTTAATTTTATAACCATTCACTGAAATCACTCTGTGTTAGGAATTATACGATAAAAATGCCTTGTACGTTTTGGAGTTTCTTCTCTGTTCAACAATGAGTTACTGCTCTTATCCATGTTTTATCAAAAGAAAGTTGAGGCTCAGGGAAGCTAAGTAACCTTCCTGAGATCACACAGCTATTAGGTAATGTTGTAGAGGCTAAGAATGGGACTTGGATCTTTCTCCAGAGTATTTAACCACCGTATTAACTGCATCAGGCACTACACTTAATATTTCCTTATCTGTCTTAATATTTATTTTTAAATTATTAGCTCACTCTGCTAATCTGTTTTAAAGATATCATGCTAAATAACTGTAGAGTATAAAAGGAAAGCTCTGCATAAATGCACATTTTAATATTGACAATGTCTCTCCCATTAGAGAAAGAGATTCAATTTAAATGAATGCAATAAAAGTGATTATGTTGATTTGTACTCTGGTGCCCTCCTTCATTCTTCCTGTATTAAGGGGGTCTTAATAACATCTAATACTTCTTGTTTTATTCACTAATAAAGCTATGCCATAAAATTTAAAAACATTGCAAGGGCTAAACAATAACCATGAAAACCCAAAATGAATCAAAGTAGATGGATTTTAATGATCTAGACTGATCTAGATTTTAATGTCCTTCTAGACTGATTTGAAATTCTGGTCCACAGCCCATTTAAACAGATTCAATCTGCCATTTACAGAGTGTGTATATTACACTCTAAAGTGTGTATTACACTTTATGATGGTAACCAGCTAGAAGTTTTAAGTAGAGAATGCACCCAAGAGATAGAGGCTCTTTTCCAGGACCTCAAATCAGAAAAGGTAACTTTCTTCTGCACCCTGGAAATACCTGGAACAAGACACTGGGAAGACTGGAATATGATCCTCTTTTCAGAGGAATAATGGAGGGAGGAATAAAAGGAGAGCTTAAACACTAGTGTCTGGTTTTCATGTCCATAATTAAAGTCTCAGGAACACTTTGGAGCCTTGCTTACCTTCTTTGACTCTTTACAATGGAGATAAGCAGTTACCCACAGCTCACACTGGACTGCCATCCCAGCCTGTGATTCCTTCACAATGCCCCCTCCCCACCTTTCTTCTCTTTCCTCTTGTAAATTGTGCGTGAAGTAACCCGGTCAGAAAGTAGAAGCTACTTAAAGTTCTCTTGAAAAAGTTGGAAGCCTTCTAATCACAAACTGCTAGTTGTGCTCAGCTGAACACCATAGCTGATTTGGTTATAGGATTTTTTTTTTAAGGTTTTATTTACTTATTCATGAGAGAGAGAGAGGCAGAGACACAGGCAGAGGGAAAAGCAGGCCCCATGCAGGGAGCCTATTCTGTCTTAGGTAAGTTCCTGTATTTCAGTTTATTCTGCCAATCTTTCTGTCGCTGTACTAAATTTTTACTATAGCTTTAAAGTAAGTCTTGGTATCTGGTAGGGAGCTTCCCTCACTACTTTTTTTTTTTCCCTAAGAAATAGATTAATTTATTCAATATGCATTTTTCACATGTGTTTATAGGTACAATATAAAATAATGGCATCATTTTAACACGTAAAGCTGAAAGAGCTTTCAAAATCATTAATCCTTTGAAGCCATACCATCATTAGCACTTTGTAACAAAGATAATGCTATGTTACAGACAATACTACACCTTCTTTTTTATTGGAATTGTATTGAATCTGATTTGAGGACAATTGACATATTTAAAATTTTGAGTTTCCCCTTCCACGAAAATGCTATAGCTCTCCACTTCTAAGGGTCTTGTTTAATGTCTCTCAGTGAAGTTTTACAATAGTAAACAATTGCAAATAATGACAATTGTGTTTCTTCTATTCCAGTATTTCTCACCTTTATTTCTTTTTCTTGCCTTACTACATTAGCTCTCTGGTATAATATAGAATAGAATTGATAGTAGCAGGCATCTTTGTCTTTTTATTACACATTTATTTATTTTAAAAAAACACATTTATTTCTTTATTTATTTATGAGAGAATGAGTGGGGGTGGGGACAGAGGAAAAGGGAGAAAGAATCTCTATCTGGCTCCACACACCCAGTGTGGAACACAAGGTGGTGGGACTCCATCTCACAACCCTGATATCATGACTTGAGCTGAAACCAAAACTTGGATGCTTAACCAACTGAACCACCCAGGCGCTACTAAAAAAAAAGAACACTTACTGTTTCACTTTATTATAAAGTATAATATTTTGCTGTAGTGTTTTTTTGGTGACTGCCTTGTACCAGGTTAAAGAAGTTCCCTTTATTCCTAGTTCAAGTTTTTAAAAATCATGAATTCATGTAGTATTTTATTGAATGCTCCTTCTACATCAAATAAGATGATCATATTTTTCTCCTTTTAATCACTTAATAAGGTGAAAAATCCATCCCTCTATTCCTGAGATACACCTTACTTGGTTATTTTTTTTTTTTAAGATTTTATTTATTTATTTACGAGAGAGAGAGAGAGAGAGGCAGAGACACAGGCAGAGGGAGAAGCAAGCTCCATGCAGGGAGCCCAATGGGGGACTTGATC